CGCGCACAGAGAGCGTTGCATATGCAAGCCTATGTGGGGCCTTCCAACCAATGGAAAGATTCGTTACGCACTATGTACACGTGCATTGCGCGTAACAAAGCCTCCTATTGGTTCATGTTAATATTTGGTCCAGATATGTTGCATATGCACGTACGTCGGTGTGCAGATGATATGCATGGCAGTGCAAAGTGAAATTTACAAAGAAATTTTACGGTTTCTTCACGATCTTCATATCTTCACGATCGATCCCTCGACCGAGATGCTTTTTTATTTGGGTTCTTTTCGGGGAATATGTGCCGGTCGGAAAAGTTGATTTGGCAGATTGTGGCGGTCCGCAATTCTGCGTGCCGGTCGGGCCGACTGGCGCCGACCGGCAGCGGCAGATCCCTGCGGATATTAAGTTACCCCCCTGATAAAATTTTTAGAAAGAAATCCCAATGAATCAGAAGAGGGCCCAGTATCCAACGGAAGAGTATACATCGGGTCTACACTGTGACTGGTCCAATTTGCTTCCATTCCAATGACAAATCACAGCTCGGCTTTCATTTGGATTTGGTCAGGAAACAAAAGGAAAAGATTGGAGCTGTGTTGCGACTGGCCAAACTATCACACAACTGACAATTATTGAGAGTTGCTGCTGATTTTCTGTAGTGTGGATGGGCAAAATGCTCAAGAATTTCACCATTTTAATGAGGATATACGTGCAAGGTGAATCAGCTTCCCCATCTAACCAACTTCACCAAGAAGGCATGTATGAAATGTGGTTGCACACGTACATAGCTGTGATGGAAGAGTAAGTTTGGCACAATCAGAACAGCCAAATCGTGTTTATCATGTTTATGGGAGTTTGCAGCTGCCGCCTCTTGGGTTTACGTTTGTACATGTATTTAGGCCACATTCCTGTAGTTGTGCATCTTGGGACAGCATTTTGAACACTCACCCCTCTCTTGCCTGCCTTCTGGAAACCCATAAAGTGGATCAAACGTCGGCAGGTTGTATAAATCTGGAGCAGTGTCCCGATTTGTCACGTATGCAGACCATGCATGTCCCATTTTTGTGGGACTTTTTACAGAATCTACAGAGTACAGCTTGGCCTAGTTCCAGTTCCACAACTCTAACCGATCGAGAAATCGCCCCGCGGTACGGTCCGGTGGAGGTCGTACAGCGCCCTCTTTTGCACTTTTTGGAAGGATCGGAACTTCCATGAAGGCGGCAGAGGGCGCTATTACGACCGTTTGCGCAGAGCAGTTTAGACCAAATACACGTACGTACGTACGTACGTACGTACGTACGTACGTACACGTACACACATGTACGCATGTCTGCAGCTAGCTCACTGCGTGTAGGCCGGCTGCGCTGGGGCCGGGGCACACAACCCTCGTATGTGCACCAGATTTGGCCGCAAGGTACGCTGTACGACCAACAAATGCAAGCATCGCAGATAATGTCCCATGACGTAGCGAGATTTTTCAGTTTTAGCCAACGGTCGAAGCACAAGTTCCAACGCTGCCTAACCCCCCGATCGATGTTTTGGAAACTTACGCTAGCGTGTGTGAAAAAATTCGTTCTAAGTACATTTTGTGAAGTTTCAATTTAATCAACCGTTACTGCTACGGTTTACTTATTCACGGGTTCACACTATTGCATGTCTGCTCGCGTATTCGAAAAGTTAAAGTTGCCGACCTGTCCGATCGCCGGAAAAAGTGTCTTGCAAATCAAAGTGCCAGCTAAGGCCTACTCGTAATGCATAACCATTTGCGGTGCGCTGGGAAGACATGGAAGTCTGTTTTTTCCCTGTACATTAAATGTACAATGCCTGAACGAGAATAGACGTGAATACTTTTTTCCCCCGAAAACCCCGATTAAACAGCTTTCGGGAAGTTACGGCCGCTGTGATAGCTGTGCTGCGTTGCAGGCCTATGGTAAAGAGATGCACTATCAGTGAATTTCTTTGAAGTTAAAACTTCAGATTCTGAATATATAACCTTCTCGGCATCACCATATTAGAAAAAGTTCCCACCAAAACTCGCCCTCCCTGAAAAAAAAAGAAATAAACTTACAAACAAAAACAAAGTTTCAAACACTTGACTCAACACTTCGAATTAAATGCAACTTAATTCACTCGGCAAGAGTTTGGTGAAGGATAGGTCGTGCATCACTTTAATTTCTATTAATATAACTCTATGGTCTATTCATAGAATAATTACGTACATGTAATATGGTACACATCTTGATGATAGAGACAATGAAAATAATAATAATAACAATACAGCCTTGCAGTAAAGGTCCGACTGTTAGTGAAGTCAGAGGATGCGGAAAACATTTCATTAGTCTAATTTACATTAGATATATGGTAGGCCTACGTGTATTTTATTGAAGCAGTGAAAAAAGTTTCATCAGCAACTCCCATTTTGATGTTTTCATGTTTTCATGCCAGTGACTGCATTGTTAACAGGTGAACATATACCATAGTCTAGAACACCATAGAGCTACTTAAAATTACATGTGCTTAAAAAATCGTATTAATGTAGGGCCTAAGTACTTTGAAAGTGATCAGTCGAAAGGAAATATATTTGAAACGCAAGAAAGGCAGAAAAATATTCAATTTTGCATTAAATAAAACACATCAGAAAAAATGCTGCCTTTTCTTATGATGGTTGCCGATTAGTACTATATTGTGGATCCAGGCGGGGGCAGTACGTTGGGAGCCATGATGTTCTCATTCAGTCCTATAAACATTTTTTTTTTCAAATAATTAGAGAAAGGTGAATAACTCTAAAAAATGATATTAATAGAAAAAAGTGTACAAATGTTGCAATAATTCCATTTTGACCTGTGACCCTCCCTCTCAAAAATTGGCTCTGGATCCTCGTTGCTGCTAGGGCCAGTTTTGTGGGGTTTTTATGTCTGGTTATATTGTACCCCCATAGTTCAGACGGTAGCGCGGCGCCGACGACAGACCCAACAGTTCTGGGGGTACGTAACATTTTTTTTCCTCTTCATGGTCGGGCTTATAACATGAGACATAAAAGAATAACATATTAGAAGATTAATTTGAGAAGAGGCAAATCCTTTAAAAAAGCAAATGCTTGTGTCAACCAAAAATACACATAAATCCAAAACAAACTGGAAACCAATTAATAAATACAAAACAAAGACAAACAAAATACAAGTAACCAACAAAGAAAAAATAAAGTTTGACAGTGAATGTACGTTCAGAAAAGAAACTGTGTGAAAAAATTAAGATGATTGGGCGGATAGAAATATCGACATTCAGATAATTCAAACTGATAATGTAGGGCCTACGATGTAAATTGCCATTAGGTCGAAACATTTGGCTATAGGAGGGTGCCAGCAAATTATTTTATAGAATACATAAATAACACCTGCTAGTATACATGTTAAGGTTAATAACAAGTACTTCAGGTTTTGTAAGATCGGTTGACTGATGAGTTTGTTATGATACGAATAAGTTTCTTTTGCAGAACAACCAATTTATCTAAGTTCGTCCTAAAAGAAGAACAGGGATGAATAAAGAGCTTTCAAAACTTCAAATGGAACAACTTATGCTTAAGTCTGAGAATCACTCTACTTTTAGACTGTTAACTCACAATTTCATCAACCTGAAATTTCCAAGTCAATTTGTAATCAACACTTTATAGACTTATTTACTTTTTCCACAATTGTTTTGTCTTATATAATGTTAAGGTTTGATAAGTTACAACGTTTTTTCCTGTTACTAAAAGTCATGTAATTGCATTTAGATAAATTGAGGGATATTTTGAAAGGTTCACTTTGAGCCAGTCACATGCATCAACTACTTGATTATTCACTCAGTAATTCGTGGAGGGAGACGAGATTTTTGTGACAACAAAAATGGTGTCGTATGCATTTAACATTTGTGAGAGGAAATTGGATGTATTGGGGAGATCATTGATTCATAGCAAAAAATAATGGTTTTAGCAAGGAACCCTGAAGTACCCCGCATGTACGTTCAATTTAAAATGAGAGAGACAATCAACTGTAAGCAACCCCTGCGTATATCGTAGTCATTAAGAAGAAGATCACGATTTAGTGTCCGAGGCTTTAGATAAATCTAAGAATACAGTGCCTGTAAAATAAGCATAATTATCTTGAAATCGTTGGACTGTTTTTCTCTGTTAAGTCAATTAGAGCCACTGATGTTGCGTATAAAATTATGAGTAATTTGATCGAACTTGAAAACCGTATTATGGACTGATAGTCCTATCCTATCACTTTTTAAAGAATTTTTGAGAAACTGGTTTGTACAGAAATTGGGCGATAATTACTGAGCTTTGGGGGATCTTCAGTATAATGTAGGAGTGAGTTTGACAACTTTTAATTTGTCAGGGAAGAAAAGGTATATATAAAGGATCGCCTATGTGGGTTATTTATCACAGATTTAATAAGCCCTAGTTTGATACCAGGTGACGTGTTATTTTTTAATTTGGAGACAATGTCATAAATATCAGTTTTAGTGATGGAATTAAGAAATGGTGAGTTTACATATGGATTTGTCAAATATATTCCGGAATTAGTTTTAGTTTTAAGAATTTTTTGGCCGAGAGAAGGCCTTACTTGGGCCTACTTGCACGAAAGTAATTAAAAACATTTTCAATGTCTTGAGAGTTACTCTCTCGTTATTTTTATTAGGCCTACTACTCGTTATTTTTAGCTTTTGCAACTTTATTTTTATTAAAGTTGGCTTTACTTACTTTTAAATTAATGATAGTACATGTAGGCCCTACTGAGTTAATTTATCACGGAAGGATTTGTAATTAACAAAATGATTAGGGTTGGATTCCTCAAGTGTTGTTGTTTTATGTTTAGTTGAGTTTATTTCCATCAGTCTTCCGTGACTTAATTTTTTTTCTTAAGATTATAATTTTCTGCATGTAGAGGAAAACTGCTTTCACAAATTCACAAATGTTCAAAAATTGCAAGTCACGGTAACACTGAGTTAACAATGCGTAGATGCGATGTCCCAATCCATGCTCCGTGGGTTGATAAATGTACATGTAGGTGAAAGGGTAAAAGCGCAGGAGGGCTTCCGTTTCTAGCTAGAATAGAAAGTTCAGGTGCACTCATCGATTCGCACTGTCATGTCACGTCAGGCATAAGAATAGCCTAGCCGGGGTTATGTTTCCTTGGTCTCTGAGTTGCACAATAATCATGACAATACATGTACATGTATTTATAAAAGAAGGCGTTGCGTTCCATTCCAGCAATTCCATCACCATGATCACGTGAACGCGATAGGTCTATTTTTTCGTGCACATACTGTCATGTCACGGGATGAGTATGACTCTCGTCTATGATGCTTTGTACTTCGCCATTCAAAGACCTTACACTTGTCTGTTCGTAATCACGTTATTATTTGCCAGCTACTGGTGGAACTTGTGGGGTGTGTTTGACAGTGAAACAATGGTGAGCTATGTAGACAAAAATTATTAGCTGCCCCCGTAATATTAATCATACAACGGCCTAAATACAATGAAATAGTCGCAGCAGGCCAAGCTGTTGAACGGTTTCAAGTTTGGATCTAGTACATGTATCGGTATACATATGCAGCAAGGT